ACATGTATGTAAATCTCAGGTATTGTGTTACAGTGATGAAATGATTGCTACAGTGGGCCTATGTTTTCTCTATCCTGCCTAATTTGTCCACAAGCATTTATAATTTCTATTTAAAAATAACACAAAACAGAGACTATTTTAAAAATTTCTTGTGAGATTGCGGGCTTCTATTTCTGGGAGCCTTCCAACTGTCATCAGTCCAAAATGTGCAAAAGAGGGCTGGGGGTGTGGCTCAGTGGTAGAGCGCTTGCCTAGCATGCACAAGGCACTGGGTTCAACCCCCGGCACCACATAAAAATATAAACAAACAAAATAAAGGTATCATGTCCATCTACCACTTAAAAAAAATGTGCAAAAGGAAGGAACTGTTGAATTCTGTGGAAGCACAACCCACCCCAGGAAATGGGTGCAGGGCAGCCTCATCTGTTTATCACATTCGGGGCACAGCACCTGGCAAGCTCCATCACATTGAAATCTCACAGAGAGAGGACTTCCTTTCTCTGCGAGTCAGGCAGGTTAAATGACTTAATCACGTCACTCAGGCTAACGCAAGGGTGGATCTCAGATCACAACGTCTAGGCTTCCTTTCCTAGGTTTTGCTCCCACGGAGATGTGTTGAAGGATTGTGGAGCCCACGGATCATTTGAATGTGTGAGTTGTTTTGTTTTCAGTCATACTTGATAATAATTTCTTTTCTTTTTTTTTGGGTACCGGGGTTGGGACTCAGGGGTACTCAACCACTGAGCCACACCCCCAGCCCTAGTTTGTATTTTATTTAAAGACAGGGTCTCACTGAGTTGCTTAGCGCCTCGCTTTTGCTGAGGCTGGCTTTGAACTCTCCATCCTCCTGCCTCAGCCTCCAGAGCTGCTGGAATAACAGGCATGCGCCACCGCACTGGCTGATAATTATCTCTTATAAAGCACCTATTAATTTTAATTAGTACAATTGAAAAATAACACACCCTATGAATTGCCTGCCAGAGGGGGAATTCTGTGTTCACTTGCCTGTATCTAATACCCTGCTAGTCTTCAGATAAAAATAATGAACGTGACAACCAACGTTTTGTGTCTCATGGCTCCTTACAATTTTTTTATCATGAAAAAAAAGAATCTACAAAACGGGGAGTGTTGGCATGAAGCCCCATATGCCCATCACCCCATTTTAAGAACGGTTGGTTTCTTGTTTGTTAATTTTCCCACCTTATCTTCCTGCCATTTTCTTTTCAAAAAAACTGGAGAATTTAAAGCCAAAACCCCAAGACTCATTTCCCCCCTGAACATTTCTATAATTGGAACGGAAAGGCTTTGTGTGGCCCTGCGTTTCTTCCTTTGGATCTGCTAGTACAGGAAGCAAGGATCTAAAAATCAGCCCCAGGCGGGTGGGTTTCTGGGAGGCCGGGGATGGGGTAGGGGTGGCAGGGGGGCACTTCCTCCGGGCTGTGCTGTTTATTTTGCTCTGGGCTGGGGACATTCCTCCACGGAACCGGAACCGCCTCCAGCCTCCGCAGTTAGACTTTTCTCCAGTGCTGAGAGTCAAGTATCTGGCTTCCCCCCGCAAGAGACATCTGGGGTGTGTTGCTTCTGAAACTATTTTTGGTGTGAGAAATGTCACTCAAGAGCTATTTGGAATTTTTTAAGCACTGAAAGCATCTGACTGGAGCCACAGGGGAGGCCAGGGGGGTGGAGCTAGTTACTCTGTGGGCCAGACATTTCCCATTCGGGTTGCTGCTTCCTCTACTCTTCTTAAGGCTTTGAGTGCTTGGGCCTAGGATGGCACTGGCATGGCAGGCTTGGAGGTGGAGTGGCCAGTGGCATGGGAGACGGGGACCCTTACTGGCTGACTGGCCTTCCTCCAACCTGCACATCTGTCCTGGGCTCTCTGTAACTGGGAGATCCACGGAGAGTGCTGGCCAGAGTGTGAGCCACAGGGTCTGCTGGTTCCCACCATGCCCTGGCACATGTAGCCAGCGGGTGTAGGAGGGATTCATTTCACCCTTCAATTTGGCAGTTGTTTCAGAAATTGGAGACAGGTGTCACCTCCTGGTGATGGGAGTACAGATGATTTTTATTTTCTCCTTTATAATTTCTAGGATTTTCTAAAATTTTGTAACATCTGTAACTTTGCAATTCCCTCCCCCTGCCGTCTTATTTTTTTAAAACAAGGAAACTGGAGGGTAGGGGCACGCCCAGGTCTGTCCTGAGATCCATCCAGCAAGGCCAACCAGTACCTGTCACACCAGGGAAGAGGCCCCTCCTGCAAGCCTGACACCCAAGGTCGTCCAATGTCGCCGAGGCAGCCTCCCTTCTCACCTTTGCTTCCACCATGCCCACTCCTGAAGCGACCTTCTCTCTTCCCGCAGCAAAAATGGACCCATTCCAAATTTTTCAGGGTCCGATAACGATTTTGCCAATTGTGAGCATGTATTAAAAACCCTACCTGCCCCAATCAAGGTAACCATCTGTGTCCTTCCTCTGACCACTGGTGGCACTTTATTTGGACTCGTTTTCTAATCTTTACCCTCTCCTGCCTTCTCCTGGAGTCATTCGCACCCAGGTCTGTGACCTAGACAGAGAGCTCCTCATGGGCGGGGCCTGTCTATCATTTGTCTTTGACCTCCCAGTGCCATCCTCAGCCTGGCACAGGCTGGATCTCAAGTGAGTGTTTGTACTGTTTACACCTGGGATTGGTGAGTCTGTGCAGGCGAGCTGTGGTGTTAGCAGCCCACTAGCCTCTCCAGGAAACACCTCCAGTTGTGACAGCTCAAAATAGTGACATTGCCAAATGTCCCCTGCAGAGCAAAGTTGCCTCCTGTGGAGAATCACTGGCACGTGGCTTATCAGGGGTCCTCCCAAACAGTGCCGGGGAGGGGTAGGAATGCCCACTGATAGACGAGAAAGGCTCATGGAGAGTTTAGCTGAAGCCGAGTCTTGCACCTACATTTCCCATTCCCAGTCCAGCGCTCGCCCTGCCATGTTGGAGGTCTCTCAAAACCCCTACTGAGACCTTTGCTTCTCCCCTTTGGTGTGTCCACACTACCCCCATCCCCATGTTCTTGGTTCCACCCTGACCCTTCCCTCTGCCCGCTCCTGTGGCCTGCGCCAGGCTGTGACCCACTGGTTGGCCCTACTGGTCCATGCAGGCTGGATCTCAGGCTGTGCCCGGAACACGCTCATCACATCTTCTTGAGCTCCTTGGGCTCGTCCCCGTGTTTGAACACGCTGATGGTGACCTGGCCTGTCTCAGAGCCATACTTGTTCTTGACAAAGACGCCATAGCGCCCGCTGTCCTCACTGTTGACCTTCTCAATGGTGATGGTGACCTCGGTCCCCTTTACCTCCATGTGGTAGCGGTCGAGGAAGGCGACAGGCTGGTCATTCTTTAGCCAAGCGATTTCAGGAGCTGGGTCTCCTGAGATGACACAGGTCAGGCACAGGGTCTGTTCCAAGAGAGAGGAAGAGAAAAGTCTCACCTCCTTGTAACTTGAACTTGGTATTCACCTTCATGTCCCCAGAGAGCTCCTAGTACAGGTAGCTCCTTGGGATAAATTCATTGTGTGGGTTTTACTGTGACCTCTAAAGGTGAGAGACATTTTATTTTCACCCCACGTTCTCCATCATCCACCTTTCTAGGAGCGCTTACTAGTTAGAATTTCCCACTATTCCACTCTAGTAATTACCTGCTCCAGAATGGCCTGCAGTTTGTTTGATTGCTTTTTTGTCATATATGTGTCATGACTTTACCATGTAAGATTTTATTACAATAGCACAAAGATTTATTAATTGAATTGGAAAATTATCGAATAAGATCTAATGCAGAGCCCCAGAATGTAATGGTTAAACACGTAGGCTCTGGACCGGAGCTGTCTGAGTTTGAATCTCAGCTCTACTCCTTCAGGCTGTGTGACCTTAGATAAGTCTCTTGACTAGTCTGAGTCTCAGTTTCCTCAGCTATCAAGCGTTGCTAGTAATCATGCCCCATTTCATGTGGTTGCCTCTATGGTGAAATCAGTTAAAACCGGTCACCCACATGGAATTGAGCCTGGCACAAAGAAAGCACCTTGAGAAAATGGTAGCCAGGATTTTTGAAAACACTAGTCTTGGATAATTCCAGCCCTAGAAGGGATCGTCCAGTCAAACTCTTGTGGAAATGGAAGCCAGAGATGGCAGTCTGTGACACCAGAGAGAGATGGGAAGCCAGGTGCGGTGTGCATGCCTGTAATCCCAGCCACTTGGGAGGCTGAGGCAGGAGGATCACAAGCTCAAGGCCAAACTCAGCAACTTAGTGAGGCCTTGAGCAACACAGTGAGATCCTGTCTCAAAAAATAAAAGGAGCTGGGAATGTAGGTTACTGATAGAGTACCCCTGGGTTGAATCCTCAGTACTGTGGAAGGAGGGAAGGAAAGAAGGAAGGGAGAGAGGGAGGGAGGAAGGAAGGAAGGAAGGAAGGAAGGGCTCTCCCTGAACACACAGGGTCAGTGAGATGTGGTCACTTGGCTGACTGCTGCAGATCCAGCCTCTCTGGCTGGCCAGCTGCCCCCTGGCTCTTGATTCTACACAGGGTCACGGTCCTGGATGGCTCCCTGAGGGAACACCACTGGGACCCCTCTGTGGGCTGGAGGGTGGGTACCTTATCTTCCATGATGGTGGCCACGTCCGGCAGGCCCCTCACCACTTTGGCTCGATCTGGAAAGGAAACAAGACGGCAGTGGTGAGCCGCTTCCCAGGGCTGAGGCTTATTTTAAGGGAGGCTCCTTGTTTCTGTTTTCTTCACGTTGGATGGAAACCTTTAAAACCGTGGGATGCACTTCCTTGTCTTCACCAGTAGGAGGTGTGGGACTTGGTGTGTTTCTGCCATTGACCAGAGGAGTGGCAGCACCGCGTGCGAGAGAGAGAGAGAGAGAGAGAGAGAGAGAGAGAGAGAGAGAGAGAGAGAGAGAGAGAGAGAGCGAGCGAGCGCGAGAGCAGCACCCTGCCCTTAAGGCAGTGAGGCGTCTCTGAGTCGCAGGCTGGCCGGGGGGAGGTGGGATAGAAGCTTTTGGGACACCCTCATTCTGGTCCAAGGACGGACCTGGTGGCTGTTGTGCATGGGCAGGAAGAGAGTGGCTGTAAATGACAAAGCAGAAACAGATACATTCCCCATGCTTCAGGGAGGCCGCGGGAAGAGAAGGGGTGTCAGCCTGGCCCTCGCCCCTGCATCAGGGAAAGGGAGCAGGACCCTCGGGCAGAAAAGGCCCGAGCGAGGGACACCACGTGGGCAGGGATCTTCAGCGCCCCCAGGTGAAATGATCCACTTCCCCAGACTGCAATGCCACAAACCCCAGCAGCCACATGTGGGTGAGTTTGACGGGCATCTATTGGGGTTCTAGTTGGGGCACTTGTCCAAGACATGGCATGCAGGATGGGAGGGAGGGTCGAGCTGGAGAAACAGGCTGGTGGCGCGAGAGTCCCCTTGGCCTGAGTGGGCCCAGGCTGGTCTCAGCGGTGCTCTCTCCCGGGAGGAGGCTGGCCCTGCAAGGCCTCACACCACAGCCACCAACGTTGCTGTGGCCCTGCTGGGCACCAGGCCCGGGCTGGACACGTCCACACCCACCGTCTCAGGAATCCTTGCGTCCCTTATCTGTGGGCGCTGCTGCCGCCCAGGTCTCCCTGTGAGACCGCAGAGCCCCACTGACCCTGCCGGGGAACTGGGACTCCAGCGCCTGCCGGGGAGGCCACCCAGACTCAGAGGCACAACCCCCAGAAACACTGGGGACTTACTCTTCTCGATGATGGCCAAGGCTCTGAAAAACAGAAACAGGACAAGGCGTGGGGTCAAGGGCAGCCCTGCCTGGTGGGGGAGAAGGGGTGAGGAGGGGAGGTGGAGGTGGCCCGGGGGTCCCAGGAGGGGGTCCTGAGCACAGTTCATGCCACACCCCAGAGGGGCCCACGAAGGAGACTTACTTCAGTCTCTGGTGTTCAGCCAAGGCGTCGTCAAAAGCTGCAAGAAGGACAAAGGTTGGGGGCATCAGGGCCTCTGCCAGGGACCCTGAGGGACAGGGCCTAGTCCTGACTGTCCCCCACTCTTCTCCCCATTCCAGTATCCTCTTGAGGGAGTGACAGGGTGGGATGCACAGGCAGGAGTTCCCCCCAAAGACCGTGGAGTTTTCTCAACAGGTTTCTCAGCGGACAGGCTCACCTTGCCCCGAGAGGTCCACAGAGAGCTGCCGGACTTCCTTTCCTGCGGCTATTTCCAGGCTGTATTTGCCCTTGTCCGAGTCTTTGGGGTCCAGGATGTGGAGCCAGATCTCATCCAGAGTGGTGCCCGCCCGTATCCGATCGCCAGTCTCCAGGCGCTTGTCTCTGAGTGTGACCGTAGGGAAATGGTCAAGGCTGGCTGGCCACATGGCTGTAAGCACCCCTGCCCCAAAATCCTTCTTGGGTGTTGTTTCCAGGAGACGTGGACACATAGCCACTCACTGATCCTTTGCCTTCTGCATCCAGCCAACCATCATCATTCCACTGTCCACTCACTCACTCATTCACTCATTCATCAAATCTCGTGACATATCAGCTGTTGCCGGTGCTGAGTCCAAATCTGTAATAAATCCTGTAGGCTGGGACCCTGGGGAAGTGTGGCTCCAGGGTATTGACCACCACTTCTCCCATCCTCAAGAGCCAGTTCCTCTTCTCTTGTTCTCATCTTAAACCCTCCATGAGTTTAAGGGTTTCTTCCCACAATCACTCTCCCCTAATCTTAGAAGCCATAGAAGGTTACCCTCTTTCCTTTCTTTACTTGAATTTCATTCCTGGAGACACCCGACCTGTGTTCCCAATGTTCTATGCCTAGAAAAGGAGCCCATTATTCTGTAACTCTCTCTGGCCTCAGTTCTCATTCTACAATCATGAACCCATCAGTCTAGCCTTCCCTTCACAATGGGTGCAGTAATGTCTGCTGCACAAGGCTGAGGCACGCACATGATAAGAAGCACTGGAAAATTCTGCTCTCAAACTATCTGGGGTGACTTAGATTTTGGCTGAATCTCTGTGGCTACCATGTCAAGCCCTGACCCTCAATTAGTTTTTAGCTATAGAGGACCCTCTGCCGGCACCTTTCCCCTAAGCTTGGCTGCCTGAGTCTGCTAAGCTGCAAAGGTCCACAAGGGCACCTTGACCCACCTGACCATCTGATTAATCCTTGTTCCTATATTTCTCTCTCATCCAATTCCTAGATGCTGCCTGGAGACCATGATCACTTTGTGGCCACGGATACACAGTTACTATTACTATATTTCCATTTTTCTCTGGAAAACCTACTCCTCTGACTGCTGATCCTCACCCCCAACTCCATCTGAAGACAGCAGAAATGGTATGAAACCCATGTCTCTTCCAACCCCCTAGAAGTGGGCTCTGCTGGGAGGACTGGGCAGGGGGCAGGAGGGAAGCCCTTGAGGGGCAGGTGCTGGGCCCCATGCAGCCTGGCTAGAGCTCTGGGCAAGGCCAACCTACTTGTGGAACCAGGTGGTTTTCATGTAGTCCACGTTGAAGTACTTGACCTTGCTGAAGATGCGGATCCCCTCCTCGGTTCCCTGGATTTTCAGTGGGGTCGCAGAGAGGGCTGGGGAGACAGAGGAGGAGGGTAAATCTTCCCCAGGGACCTCTGGGCAGCGTGTTTTGGGGCCAGCCTGCTTGCTCCTGCCCTGCAGGGCAGTGTGGTGGGGAACGTGTGCTGCGAGGAGGAAGCAGCTTCTCTCCCAGTCTTTGGGTTGGACACTTAACCCACTTAACCCACCCCTGGCAGCTGAGGCTGGTGGGAGGCCCCTTGGAGGCTCTGTGGCAGGCATCAGGATGGGGCTAGGCAAAGAGGTGGGCTAGCTTACCTCCGATCCTGCCCAGCTCAGTGAAGATGGCATCCAGGGCTGGGGGGAGACAGAACGGTCAGCTGTGTGAGACTCTCTAGGGATGCCCAGGATGGGGATGTCCTTGGAAAAGGCTGGTGGAGCTCATGAGCTGTTCTCTGGACACAGGGAGATCTGCAGGATGACTTGGGGGTGAAGGGCTCTAGGGACATGGGGACCTCATTCATCTTACCTCACAGATCATTTCATAGTCTCTTGCTCTAGTGTGACCCCCACAGCCCTCCTGGCCCATCTCTAAGGTCACCAGCTCCTACCTTCACCTTCGAGGTCCAGCATGGTGTCGTCTTCCCCTCGCTCATCAGAGACCACTGCTCTGTAAATTCCCTGGTCCTCTTTGGACAACTGGAAGGATAGGAGATGGCCGGGTCAGCAGGGGTTTGGGAGAGATGGACGGCAAGTGAGGAGGCCTGGGCTGCAGGCCTGGCCCTGACTCTGCGGGACCTCAGGCGAGACCTCCTCTCTCTGGGACCTGGTTCACTCGTCTAGGCTGGTGGTTTCTAAGTGGCTCCAGTGACAGCTGGTTCCTTGCTCAGGGCCTGTCTGAGCCTGAGGAGGGTCGGGGTGGCTGTGGTGACCCCTGCAGTTGGGTTGACAGCACAGACAGCCCTCCTTGCAGAGCTTGTCTGAGCATGGCACACCCCCTATCAAGCTGCCCCTGGCCTGGGGGCCCCGGATGGAGGGACCATTCTGCACCTTCCAGAAGGAAGCACGGTTGTGCTTGCTTGTGCCTGGGACAAGGGGGCCTTTCTGGCACATGTCTGTCAGCCCCACACAAAATCTGAACCCACGCTCAGCAAAGCAAGAACCCGGAGCACTTTTTTTTTTTTTTTGATGGTGCTGAGATGGAACCCAGGGCTTTCCATGCTAGGCAAGCGCTCTGCCACTGAGCTCCGGCTCCAGTCCAGGGGTGGTGCTTTTCAGGCAAGATCAGTGACCTCTCATTACACAACACTTCCTTCAGGGGGGTAATATTAGCTTCAAAGGTCCCCAGCACCCAGAGCATCCCCACATAGTGGGTTTGGGGCGAAGGTCCAAGGCAGAAGCAGCCCTTAACCTGGGGTTTGAGAGACTGAACCCCAACAATTCTTTCCTATGTCCCCCTTCCTTTCCTCCATGCACTGTCAGCTCTAAAGTTCCAGTCAAACTGGGAGCAGGGACTGGGGGGATTTATGAACCACGCCCCAGCCTTGTATCCTTGAACTTGACCCCTCTGAGCCTCAGTTTTCCCTTTGGTAAAACGTGGCCAGGGCTGATATAGCATTGTCCTGCCTAGGATTTAGAAGACCCCGGGATCATTATTTCCTCTCTAGTAGGCAGCCTGTGATTTCCCCAGTCCTACGTGGCCCTCAGCAAGACCATGGGACTCAGCAGCAGGGCAGAGAAATACAGATGGGTTAAGAACAAGCCCCGTAACCAGGCACACTCCTGCAAAGACCGTGGGGAAGGACGGGTGGGACAATCAAACTCCAGGCCCACTCTGTTCTGCCCAGACCTGTCTCACATGGACACCTCTTTCCTGGATTGTCAGAGCAGGAAGGATCATTGAGAGAGCATCCCTTCCAACCTGCTCATCTTCCTGATGAAAGCTGAGATCAGAGAAGGACAGCTGCTAGCCTGAGGATGCACAGTCAGCAGCATGGCCAGGCCTCGTGCCCAGGCCAAGGAAAATCAGTAACACATGTCCTGCCCGAATTGAAAATTTGGGTAGTTTTTTTCTTCAAGGTCTTTTTTTGTTGTTGTTAATTTTGATTTTTTAATGATATTGCATGATGAGCTGGGGGTATTGTTACTTACTTTGGTGATTGAGTTTTGATGCCCCTTAAGATGTGCACCTAGGACGAGGGCTTCCCTCGCTCGCCCTGGCCCCAGCCCTGCAGGGACTCCCAGGCCGGTGCCCTCAGTGCTGCCCACTTGCAGCTGAGGGCAGGGTGAGGCTGGAGCCCAGTGGGCACCCACCTCTTCAATGAGGATACATCCTTCTCCTGTCTGCGGGTCGTACTGACCGGCTGGCGTCTCCCTTTTCTTGAAGAACCACTGGAAGCGAGTCTCCTTCTTGGTGTTGGTCACCTGGGGAGGGTGGAGCACAAGGGGATGCCATCAGCTTTCTCAAGGGAAAACTCAGCCCTTCAGAGTGGTTCCACAAACATGGCTTCCTCCCTGGGGTCCAATCCCCCCCACACTCGGTCAGATCCCAGGGCCCCTTCCTGACGCCAGGAGTCTCCTCTGCAGGACTCTGGAACCAAAGCTTTTGCTAATAGTGTTCCCTCTGCCTCTAGGTCTCTTCCCTTCTCTATTCTCCTTGTAAATTCCTAGGCTTTTTTTGTATGTGCATGCGTGTGTGTGTGCATGTGTGTGTGCACATGCATGTGCATACTGGGGATTGAACTCAGGGCCTCACACATGATCCACAAACACTCTTCCACTGAGCTCCACCCCAACCCAACACTTCTCATAGGCTCAGTTAGATGTCGCTTCCTCCAGGAACCTCTCTGGAAGCACCGCACACCCCCATTGTGACCAATCCATTCCCGGCTCAGGTCTGATCCAGCTTGAGGCAAACTGCTTTCCAGCCGTCCTGGACCAAGGGCTCCCAGAGGCCTGAGGGACCAAGACTGCATCCTTGTGCATCTAGTACCTTGCAGAGCACTTGGCACATAGTAGGTGCTTCAAGTTCCCGGAATGAATATGCCCCTGGAGGAGCCCCCACCCACCCCGTCCTTCTCTGGTTATTGAAGAGGCTGCAGGGTGCTGAGAAGGACCTCCAGCTTTGGAGTCAAGCAGTGTCAGTTAGAACCTGGACTCCACGGCTAACCCTGCGGTCTTGGGATATTTCCCTGAGGTTTTCTCATCTGCGAGGTGGGGATAATAATGCATATTTCACCCACGATTGTGACATGGGTGAAATAAAATAGTATGGCAATGCTTTGGGCAGAGTCAGGCTCCCTGACCCACTGGCCCCATGGGACCCTGTCTGGAGGTGCTGGGAGCGCTGGCTCAGGGCTGACCCACCTCACATGCATCCTCCTGCCTGCACTCTGGGAAGACGACTTGTTTTAGGTTAAGTGGGGTCTCTCAGGGGCCACTTCCCAGGTATGGGGTCAGTCAAGCACAGGGAATGGAATGGGGGATGGTAGTGGGGTGGGGAGGGACATCCAGTGGACTTGAGGACAAGCTGCAGGTCCCTCCCCACTGGCAGGTGGGGACTTGCCTTGCACGTTAGCAGCACTTGGCAGTCCTCGGTGATCTTCCACTGCAAGGGATCCTGGAAATAGGGACCTGCCAGAGGAACAGGAGACACACCCACTCATCCACACGGGCTCGGCCTGGCGCCACCTGGTGGCCGTACGGGGGAAGGCAGCTGGGCGGAAGCAGCGGAAGACCACTGGCGCCCAAGATGCTGCCCGCACAGGGCGGGTTGGGGTGAAGCAAGAGAGAGGCCTGGGGTGCAAACTCTAAGGAGGAACTCACTCGGGCTGGGGAAGTGCTTTTTGTTCTGGTGCCGGGACAGAACTGGACTGAACCTCACTGGGGTTCTCTCTGGGGTGGGGATGGGGCTCCTGTTAACACCCCGTCTAGCTGGTCTCCAGCGCGGACCAGTGGCCGAGGTGGACGTCCCTCCAGCACCTCCTACCTTGTTTTCTCTTCCAGTCTCTTCTCTTAGCATCTGCCTTCCTCAGAAGTTTGTCAAAATCTGTGGACACACAGGGAGGAACTGGCATGAGCCCAGAGAAGCGCAGGACTCCAGGGTGGACAGGCCCCAGAACTGGGGGCCCAGAGCCTGCGGGGCAGGGAGGGCCGGTGCGGGCAGCAGGGTGGGGGGGCGGGGCTGACCGTCGTCCACCAGGGCCAGGGTGATCTGGTTCTTAGCTTTTCCGTCTTGGAGCTGAGCGGTGTACGACCCCTTATCCTCCTCCGACAGGTGAAGGATGATCACCTCCACCAGCCCCTTCTCTCGGTCGAAGTTGATTTTGCGGTTCTGGGGAGAACAACCCCCAGAGTCACTTTTCCTATCCTGGGGATTTTGCTGTGGGGCGTACCTCAGCGGGTGGTGGGACTTGGGGGTGATGAGTGCAAAGTTATCAGCCTTCAGAGACTGGGAGGGGCCCCGGGCAACCCTTTCCTGCTTGTATAGATTGGGGCTCCCCCAGCACCCAGTGCCTGGGAACACCCCTGGATGCTTGAATTAATTACAGTTTAATAATAAGTCCCTCACCCCTCCTGTGCCTCATTTTTGGATATTTTCAACTTCGTTTACAATTTACTAGAACTCTCTAGAAGTACATAAAGGATGGTATTAAAAACCACCCATTACTAGCCAGCCATAATTAACCCCTCTTTACATTTTGCCACATTCTAGCAGTTTAAAAAGTTTTATTTTCCATATTTAGGTCCTTATTCTGTTTGGCTTTATTTGCATCTAACTTTATTTTGTTTTTCTGGAGGGGGATTTGATTGTCCAGATGCTGTATGATCTGTGCTTGGGGCTTTCCAGTTAGGTTCCTCATATGCTTCTCTTGATCCTGGGGCAACTTGTCCATTGAACAGATGCAAACACAGAGGCATAGAGAGGTGGAGACCTGCCCTGGTTAGGTCAGACAGCCCATGGGACTGGATGTGAGTTTTCTGACATCCACCCCTGCCTGAGCTCATTCCCTTCGGTCAGAAACCAGCATCCACTTCTCTGTAACAAACACATGCTTTGCTTCTTTCTCCCTCTTCCTTCTTTCCTGCCTCTCTCCTTCTTTCTTCCTTCCTTCTTTCCTTTCTGCTGGGGATTTAACTCAGCATCTAGCCCAGGCTACACAGCAATTCCACCAGCCCCAATCCTTGTTTTCTGATGGCGGCTTTGCCATCTGCAGACGAAATTCACAAATAACATGAGATTGCATCATGAGCTTGAGTCTTTCATGACACTGAAATTGCCGTGTTTGCAGATCAATAAGGTTGAATATCAGCAATTTATATGGCTCATTCTAACTCAGCCTATCTACCTATTAATTAAAATAAAAACAATGTAGCACTTTCACTGTAATATGAAGAAGCAATAAAAATCATTTAAAATGAACCAACGTGTATTTTGATATGTGGATGCTGAGGCACAACCTCATTCATGCTGCACTGATTTATGATGAACGAGTTTGAATTTAAGAGAAGAAAAGCAAGAAGATCAGGAGCTACTGCATAAAGAATAGGAAAATGAGTAAATGAGCACAAGTGACCAATAGAACAGAAAGTCTCCACTCAGTGTGCATGAAACTTGTGCAGAAGAACTTTATATTTTTACCTAAAACAGGGTTAGGGTCTGGGCTTGGATAATTATCTGCATGAAAAGGTGTTCCACCTTCAGGATGTCTGCTGGGACATTTGAAAGTTGTAGAGGGTCTAGAAAATTCTTTTATAGAAATGTTCCTGACACATCCTGCACATCTTTCCACCTCCCATGTACTAGAAGCCAGGTGTCCCCATCCCCACTCCATCTTGGTAACAGCCAAAGCACAGAGCCATCTCTGAAATGCCCCTTGTGGGGAGGTTCCACCCTGTGGAGAGCCAAAGCCAGAGAAGGTCAGCTGAGTTGGGGGAGCTTCATGGAGGGACGGAGGGCCAATTACCGGTGAGCTGAAGATCTCCTTCTGGTTGAAGATGAGGTGCAGCTCAGCGGCTGGGGACAGCTTTTCCACCTCCAGCCAGAGCCGCACCTCTCCCTGCTCCAGGATGTCGATGTTCCAGCCGGAGATCAGCTTGATCACTGGGGGCACAGTTGGGAAGGGTGTGGGTGGGGCGCCCTCTCCTCCCCCTCCCCACCAGCCCTGCCTGGACCCCGTTGGCATTTGAAGTGTGACGGGTTTGGAGAGCCTGAGGCTGGACTCGGGTGGGTCTGGGCAGCTTTTCTTTCCACTCATCTTGGCTCTTCCCCTTCATGGGCTCTGGGGCCATAGTCCACACCTGGTTGGGCATGAGATCCTGGGGGATTTTCAAAGACACTAGTGTCTGGACTTCACCTCCAGAGATTCTGATTTGCCCGGGCATTGGAATTTTTTTGGGGGGAGTATCAGGGATTGAACCCAGGGGCGCTCAACCATTGAGCCACATCCCCAGCCCTATTTTGTATTTTATTTAGAGACAGGGTCTCACTGAGTTGCTCAGTGCCTCGCTTTTGCTGAGGCTGGCTTTGAACTCTAAATCCTCCTGTCTCAGCTTCCTGAGCTGCTGGGATTACAGGCGTGTGCCACTGTGCCTGGTGGCATCTGGATTTTGAAAAGCTCCTGGGGGCGATTTCAACGTGCAGCCAAGTTCATGACCCTGGCCCTAGGATGGCAATGCACTATCCCTTGCCGATGGGGAGAAGCGGAGGTTTAGGTGATCCCAAACCCAAATGACTGAAGAGCCAATAACGATTATAAGAAGGGACCATCCCATTTCCTTCCCTCGCATCAGCTGGCCAAGGTCTCTTTCAGGGACTCCCCTGGTCTCTGACCCTCCAGCGCTGTGGCTCTCCATCCTGTGATCCAGGTCCCTTCCTGGCTCTCTGGTGGACCCAGCTCTGCTCAGGGGCTGCCCTGGGAGGCTTACCTGGGTTTCTGATCTCATGACTCAACTTCTTCAGCCTGTTCAGCTCTGGGGTAGGGAGGGGCAGGGAAGAAAACAGAGAGGGTGAACTGTCCTGGCCAGAGGAGCCCAACAGAGCCATCCTTGTGTCCCATGCCAGGTGAAGTCCTGAGAGAGGCCCTCATCCGAGGAGTAACTTGGGGTCCTGTGCTCCACAGGGGCTGAGGATGAGCACCGTGGGCTTTGGCCCAGGGGCCCGGAGGGAGCTGCTAGGGCTGCTGCTGGAGGCCCCAGGGTTTCCTGTCCTTCAGGGCCTAGACCAAGCCCCACCTCCCTAGAGGAGCACCTTCTCGTGCCAGGCTCTGCTGGACCTCAGTAGTTCTCATGCAATGCTGTGGGCTGAGCGCCTCTGTCCACCTGCAGGCCTCTCCAGGCCCACAGCCTCCTGAGCCTCACTGTTAACCCACATAGCATGCCGTCCTAGTGCCTGAGGGTCTGGACCACGCAGTGAGCACTGAGATGTCTCCACAGCTGGTCTGCAGAGTGCTGGCATATTTACTGACTGCTTCTTTGTGTCAGCTTTGTCTCTAGCGTTGAGCTGAGCTCTGGACCTACATGAGTGTCTGAAACATAGTAAGTGCTCAATAAATGTGCATTGCAGGGATGAATTGGCAGGGTCAGTCACACACTGCATTTTCTCTTATAATCCCCAGGGTCTTTGGCATGATGAGTTGGGATTCTGGCAAGCAACCCATCAACAAAATAAAAACCCCATTATGGTGGATGGCTTTAGTTTGCACAGAAACATCTAATTGTATCTGCATAATGAGATCGTTCTGTGGGGCAGCAGGGGTTATAATCCCCCTTTGCTGGCGAGGAAACTGGAGGTCTGAGAGGTGATATGACTTGCTCAAGGCCAAATAGTCAGCAAATTGAGGAGCTAGAATTGGAACCCAGTCCCTCTGGATCTTGTTTCTTAGCACAATTGAAGGCCTTGATGTGCAACAGCAGACAGTGGGCACGGGCTCTTCCACTTGCTCTAAAGACAGCAGCCAGCGCGTCCCATCAGCCACGAGCACTGGTTGCATTAGTTGAGTCATCAGGTGTGGCTGGGCCTTGACACATGGCTTCCACACTCTGGTTAGCCACAGTCCTTACCGCTCCCTATCGTCATCCTCACTCCACAGAACAACTACCATTTGCGGTTCATTTTCACCCTTGCAATCTTGATTTTCTTATGCTATTGAAAAAAGCAAAATAATCCTGGAACATTTGCCTTTATCAAAAGTGGGAAAATGAAAGACAAGAAGAATGTGAATTCTCTCTGGCAGGGGTTTTTGAGTTGAGGGCCTAGGACTGCACCTGCCGTATGGTGGAGGCTCCATAGGTGATTATTGATTGGCTAACTGAAGAAGTGTGTGTGGGGGTGAGGGCTGCTACACTCTGGTTGTGTTTGTGTTGGACTCGATCAGGGTCTGTCTCCGGGGAGGCGGTAGGGAGCAGGGGAATTACCTTCCTCCGTCAATGTGTGGCTTGCAGAGATGTCTTCATCGGCATCAGTGACTACCACTGAGTAGGTGCCCAAATCCTCAAGGCCAGGTTCTTTCAGGATGACCTTGGACCTGGCAGACAGGAGAACAGAGACTATGGGGTGGGGTCCTTGGTCTTGTGCACTGGGGGCTGAGAGCTGGAGAATCTTGGTTCTGGTGGCCAGTGCTGCAGTGGAGACCCCGACCAATCTGGGAAGCAGGGCAGCTGCCTCTCTGCACCTTCGCAGGGGCCCCTCTGGCCTGGCACCTTTAATGGCCACATTGTCCCATCTGCCTCCAGGGCCCAAGACACCAGCTTTATCTCCTGGTGGACAGGGCCAAGGCCACGAGCAGCCAGGGGAGGAGGAGGGAGACCTGGGGCATTGACAGACACCCTGGTGGTCATCTGATCCAACCTGCATTTATCAACGAGAAAGCTGAGGCCCGAGACTGTGCCAGAGCAGGAAGCTGGCACTCAGGCTGGGAACCGGGGCCTGGGCATCTCCGTGGAGTCTCCGAGGCAGAGGCTCATGCCGTTCCTTAGTGAAGCAGAAACTCCAAGAGATTGTCACCATTCCGGCCCTTCGGGGGGCTACCCCGCCACTCCTTCCGCCGACTCCCCTTCCCGTCACTTGCCTGCTGACTTCATCCTTGATCTCCACCCTCTGGGGGTCTGGTGGACCCTTGTAGTCTTTGGACCATTGAAACTCCGAGGAGTC